CCTGTGGTTGGTGGGCAGAAGTAAAATCTCATCTTTTACCTAGGTGGAAATGAAGAAAGAGGAAAGGGGTAACAGATGAATACCAGACAGAGTAAGATATTTTAAAATATGAACTAGGGGACTTCCCTGGCTGTCCAGTGGTTAAGACTCCACGCTTCAAATGCAGGGGCTACAGGTTTGATCCCTGATCGGGGAACTAAGATCCCATATGCTGTGCAGCACAGCCAAAAAAAAAAAAAATCTATATATCTATATCTATATATGTATGAATTAAAGAGAAGAGTGTTGCCTAGTACTGCCACAAAAAGCACACAACCTAGGTGGCCTAAAACAACAGAAATTTAGGGCTTCCCTGGTGGCACAGTGCTTGAGAGTCCGCCTGCCAATGCAGGGGACATGGGTTCATGCCCCGGCCTGGGAAGATCCCACACGCTGCAGAGCGGCTGGTCCCGTGAGCCATGGCCCCTGAGCCTGCACGTCTGGAGCCTGTGCTCTGCAACGGGAGAGGCCACAGCAGTGAGAGGCCCGCGTGCCGCAAAAAAAAAAAAAAAAAACAGAAATTTATTGTCTCACAGTTCTGGAGGCTGTGCTTCCCCTGAAACCTATACGGGAGAATCCTTCCCTGCTCTTTTCATTTTCTGGTGTTTTCCCAGAAATCCCTGGTGTTCCTTGGCTTGGAGATACAGCACTTCAATCTCTGCCTTGGTGGTCACATGGCATTGTTTCTGTGTCTGCCTGGGACATTTTCTTATAAGGACATCAGTCATGTTGGACTTTGGTCCCACCTACTGCATTATGACATCATCTTAACTAATCTGCAATTACCCTTTGTGCAAATAGGATCACATTCTCAGGTACTGGGGTTTAGGACTTCAACATACCTGTTTTGGGGGCTACACAATTCAACTCGCAACAGGGAGAGAACTGAAGATGCAGGTAAAAGAGAGTCCTGAGTTTAGTTTTACATAATGAAAATAGAAAAGCTAAAGTCAATAAGCAAAATTAAATGGCATATGATGGTCGTCAGTCTTTAGTAGTTTATTTTGTATCTCCAGCTCATTTCCTGAAATTTAGGAAATATTGCCACGTGTTCTCTCTTTTTTTTTTTTTAACCAGCTGCTATGGTAATGATACTCTTCCATGTATGCATATTTCTGTTGTATTTCTATGGATTTACTATAGTAAATATTACTAATAATGGAAATAAGAGTGATAAGGAGTTTCCTACACAAAATTGTTATGATTATCTCAGCTTGGGAAAAGAAGAAATAAAAGATTAAATGAATATGACTTGTTTTAGAACATTATATTGAACACATCAAATCAATGTGCTATTACTGGTCGGCATGACCTGGCCATGAGATGCACAGCAAAATTAAACATTTGAGCCAATAATGACCCTCACATTTCTGAGTAAGCCAGAGAGAGATAAGCTCCCACTTCTTGATACAACCCTGGGGGAAGTAGATCTTGGGCGTTGGCCTTGCCGTGATGGACAGGAGGTGGCTGGGCAGTTTCATAAGAGGACATATCCTAGGCAGGGGATGAGATTATGAAGTTTGGCCTGTCTGTCCTGTTTTGATGATGCCCTGAAATCCAGCTTGCACCCTGTCAAGGATCCAGGGCAGCTACATCATGGTCCAAGAGAAGTCACTTATGTGGCATCAATCCCCAGCCATATCCATCAAGGGAAGGAAACTTCTAGCCCCATGAAAATGTCCTGCCCTGGGGCCTGGGGTAAGAGGATAAGGGGAATTGGTCATTTGGCCTCACTTCCTTCTTTCCACTTAGCAGATGCTGGTGATGTCCCAACCATATCCTCTTTGTCCACGCTGAAGGTCACCTAGAGCTTCAGTGGACAATTGTCATAAAAATACCTGTGTCTCTCTGCCTGAGCACTTTCTCTGGATGCAGGAGCATGGCTGAAAGTGCAGGAGGGTTTATAACCCCCAGGAGCAAACCTCATCCAATGAGAAAGGGAGTTGGTGTGAAATGGCCCAGCTTCCTTGGTGGTTGGTGAGACAGTTTTGAGGTATGTTTTGTTGTCTCTTAGGTCTCTAGTAGGACTTAGTTCCAAGTGCTCACAGTTGTAACCAACTCATTACTGACTACCCGCTTCCTTATCTCACTTCCCTAGTTCCTCATCATGCTTCCTAGGGTCACCTCTCAAGTAGAGAGGTGGGATTTGCACCCAAATCCTTGTCTCAAGGTTGGTTTTTTGGGGAACACAAACTAATAGCATTATATCCAATATCCCCTTTGAATGAGGAGTATTCAATTTGTTCAAACAACATGGATGGGCTAGGAAGTGAAGGTGTGGTATTGACAACCTTGCAATGGAAAGCTAGGGATCCGTTCCACTTTTATCACTGCACTGTGCTATGAGCAAGAGCCCATCCACTTGATCACAATTACCCTCAGAGAAGAAAAATGGATAAGGAATAGGATAATCCTGTCTGTGAACAATATGATTATAACTTATAAATATTCTAACCAATGGTTAGTGCTATGGAATATGTATGGTTGTATTAAGATAATTAAAAGCTTCTATGTCTCCTATTTATAAGTCATATACCTAAAAACAAGACATAAGAAAATGTCTTATATATCTGATATGTAATTTTGAAGATGACCTAAGACTGCATTGTCTTTATTCACATTAGGCCATCCAGAATCCAATTCCAGTTTGTCAAATGTATGCATGGCATAAATTGTATACATCTAGTCTAATGGTTCTCAATCCTAGGAGACCCAACTCTCCCTTTTATAACAAATATTCTACAATTCTGTCTTTAATATCCTAAATGAAAGTCAAGAAAAATATGCTATACATAATTTTAATAATCAATACAACACCCTTACTTTGATGCGATGAAACAAAGGAAAGAAATGTATAAGAAAATAATACATATTTTGATCTGTGGGTGTTGGGACATGACTACACTAGGAGACAAATGCTTGCATTCACCTGTAAATATATTAGTTTGTATATAAGAGAAGTAAGAAGATCAGCAGTGATGCCACACAGGATGTATAGAAAAATGAATGCACAGCAGAAAAATAACTAATGGAGGATGAGAAGGTACATGTGTGGTACCAAGAGACCAGACATGTTTGTATGTGACATGAGAAAGAGAAGTAACCTTCACTTAGCCTCCAAGAAAGAGCAGATGGTCAGGGTGAAGAAGACGAGGAAGTTTGACTGTCTCACAATCAGGCTCCTTATTAGTTGCTCTAACATACTTCCCTATGTTTTGAGGGGTAGTGATGAAGTTTGAAAGAAAACTGATTTCCTGTTTTGAAATCCCACCACGTGTTACGGCATAAGTTCTGTCTCTAAAACTCAGACCCTGGAGACCACATCCTTTACTATGTGATAGAACACAGAGATGAAAAAGGAAGAAAGAAAAAAAGGAAAGAAAGAAGGAAGGAAGGAAGGGGGGGAGGGAGAGAAAGAAGGAAAGAAAAGGAAGGAAGGAAAGAAAGAAGGAAGGAAGGAAGGAAGGAAGGAAGGAAGGAAGGAAAGAACTCTAGAGAAATGATGCGGTGGACTTCTAAGGTGGGTACTGAAGACTGGAGGGAAAAAGGCACATCAACCCATCACTTCTGTAAAAAAACCCACACCCTGATTTCCATATGTAATTTTCTCAGCACAGCTTTCTTACCATTGTGCTACACAAACGAGAAAGCCAGAGGCAGGACGGTGCAGCAGTGTCAGTGCCCTGTCATGAGTCCCAACTGCGTGAGACCATACTTCCCAACCGCAGCGCTGGCTCTGCCACCAGAGCCTCTGCCCACTCACGTCAGGGGCTGGAAGTGCTGGGGAATTGCACCGCTTGGGGGTAGCCCTTAGTAACTGATGGGAGTCAGTGGATAAATACCCCAGCTGCCTCCCCCTCTGGCACCATGACTGTGGAGCGCTGGCTCAGTTGCCCACAGTGCTAATTTTTTTGATAATTCATCTCTATTGGCATCTATCCTTCCCTTCCCATTCTCCCAGTTGTCTTTTTTAGGACCACTGCCAGAGAAACTTGAAACTGAATTTGAAACTTTGCCTCAGAGTCTGCTTTTGGGGAGACCCAAACTAAAACAGAGGGTAATAATCTCAAATATTTTAAAAAATCTGATTGATGAAATTTAATGATGTCCTAATTCTGTTAAAAGAAATCTCAGATGTTCTCTTACATTTTGTTGCTTTTGCCAGAATTGTTTAGTGAAACTCTTCACCTAAATATGCCTTTGGAAATACTATAATAAATAATGTAGCTCTCATGTTAAAGGAGGATGAACGGAAGTCCTAGCTGAATCCAAATCTTTCCATAATTAAATAATTCTTCTGTCCCCAAATCATGTTTTAGCCCAATTAACATTTTCTGCAAACATTGGCTAATATCTTTCACCATTTTCAAGTGGGTTAATCACCAAATCTGATATTGTAGATCCATACTGACTTTTAGATCTACTCGTTATTTTAAAATAGCATCAAAATTAGCAATATAATCCCAAACCAGTATCTTAGACCTAGTCTTATCTGCTATAGATAAAGGAACTGGGAAAATTCTGGGCAAGAGAGCTTCTCTTAAATCAAGTAAGTTTGTTGAAAAATGTTAATTCCTTCCTCTTTAATAATATCAATCTCGCTTGCAGATTAAGGACTTGATTTAACATTTCTGATACACATGCAATATATGTCAAATCTCTTCATAATATTTTGATGCCACTATTTAATTTTTATTGATTGAAAACAAAAATGCATGTTAGTATTAAAGAATAAATAAAATATTTTAAAACAATTTTCTTTGGAATCACCATCTTATTTCTATATGTAGGATAAGATAGTCAAACACCTTTTCAATGTTATTGCAAAGTTTACAAAAGAATCTTTTACTCGAGGCATTAATTTAAATTTTATTAGTAGCAGTGATAACATTCACTGACTTGTGGGCCTTTCACTAAGCTTTTGGCGAGTGAGGTTGTCAACGAGTAATGCAGTGACTTACCAATGGGGCTGTTGCTACTTGTGAGATGTTTACAACCCTACTTTGCTGGCGGACTGTAGCTGCAGCTCCATCTGCTGCCCAATGACACTGGAAAAGGAAAAAGGTCTTCCTGTGAAACATTTTTAAAGAATTTCAAATTTTCACAACTCTTAGGATCCAATGTCCATACATATGGAAATAAATTTTCTGCCCAATGTTTTTATTCCCATGAACCTTAACATTTGTGGTCAGTAAAGCTTCATTATCATAGAGGTTTCTTGCAATTCACTTGCAACATTCTTTTGACTGTAGATCATTTCAGAGCCTATTTTCTACTTCTGGATTTCTCATAGATTCTCCTGCATACAACATTATTGCTCAATTAACAGAAGAAAACATTTAAGTTTCTTTCTCTCATAAAAATAACTTCTTATACAGCAGTTACAATTAATTTTCCCTTATATTGTTTGGATTTCCATAGTATCATTTGTGCTATTCTATAAGAAACGGTACCTCATATCCTTCAGATTGGATCAAAAAAACATCTCAAGGACAACACTATGATTTCCAAACTTTCCTTAAATCTCTGAAGTTTCTATCTTTGCCAACTCTGTGTCTCTCTTTATAAAATATTCACTTGGTCTTGATGGGTTCATCTAGATGAATTAGAAAAAAACTATGTTGCCAGCATGGATATTTTCAAATATTCAGCTGAGTACTCTCAACCTCTTTTCTTAATATCTAAATTATATATAGTATTTTTAAAATAAGGGCTAAATTTGTACATCTTTGTGAAAAATATAGAAGCACTAAGAATGCCATAAACGTAAACTGATACAGGTGACTCAAGGGCAACGAGTGGAGTTGTTGTAGGTGGTGTGGTTTTCTGAATTGGTAAACAGCTCCTGATTTTCAAATATCAACCAAAACAATATTAGTGGCATTCCTGGAAAATTCGCCGTGAATTAAAACTCTGCAAGGCATACACGTTTACATGTGAATTAGAATTGGTTCTCGACTCAAATAAATACAAACGAGCTTTTACCTACATAAGAAGCATGAGCTGGGAGAGTCAAAAGTTGGTTAGGAAAGAAAACAATTGGTTTTTTTGTAAAAAGGTTTGGTCTGGCATCAGTGGACCCCATGCAGTATTTCCCAGTTCATTGTGACAGCCCAAAATACCCTTACGTATTTCCCAAATGCTCCCTACTCATTAAACATGTATTATGAATATTACTGTATCATTGAAAAGACACAACTGCTCTTTAAAAAGCTTCCACACCTACTTTCTCATAAATATTGATTTTATAGATATTATATGCTGAAAGTGCATTTGAAGCAGTACGAAGCCTACTTTATCCAAGTACTGACCATCAACCCTAGTCATTATCTACTGATTCCTCCAAAAAGTAGCTGACTAGAATCCCTGGGAATTTGGAAAGGGGATCCTAAGCGAGAAAGTTGGATAGGTTATGGCCTAATAACCTTATGGCATGGTAGCTGTCATCTGTTCAGAACTTGTTACTTCGGAAGTTCGTGATTCTTATTTTTGTTGTTGTTGTTGGCCCCCTCTGCTACTTAGTAATCTTTAGGAAAAGTCCAGTTTATCTCTGCTATTTGAAAGGAATACTATGCCAAAGGCAGGGTGAAACATATAGGAAAAGGGGCTTATCAGGGATTTTGGTCAGCAGCCTTCCCCCAGCGCTCACCTGGAGATTTTCTTTCTGATGCTAAAACCTTAGAGAAGCTGTGTTTTATTTTATTAAAGGAAGACAACACCTTCACACCAAGAGACTCAAAATGGGTAGGATACAACGTTTGTACAACACATTCCCTACCCGGGAAGGGGCTTACCCTCTCAGGTGTATTGCTATTACCCCAATGTAGAAAGTAGATCAATAAGACACAGCGAGGCAAATGGTGATTCCTAGTAATTGACAGAATTAGGTCTCCATAAATATGATCCAGAGAAGACACAAAGTAGAAACATAGGCATGGACAACAGAAGTGATATACAGGAAGAGATCTGGGACTGTGTGATAAAGGTTAGATGAATTACACTAGTTACTGTAGGGTTTCTCCACCTGCACTACTGACATTTTGGTCAGGAGAATTCTTTACTGTGGGAGGCTGTCCTGTGTATTGTAGGATGTTGAGCAGCATCCCTGGCCTCTGCCCATTAGATGCCAGTAGCAGTCTCCTCCCCCAATTCTCACACCAAAATTGTTTCCCAATATTGGCAAGAGTTCCCTGGAGTCTAAAATCGGCCCCTGTTGAGAATCACTGCTTCTCAGCCTTCAGTGTGCATAGGATCAGCTGGGAGTCTTCTAAACACTGCTTTTATAGGTCTGCGGTAGGGCCTGGCACTCTCTAGTCCAAACAAGATCCCAGATGAGACCGATGCTGCCTGTCCAAGGGCAACACTTGCTTCTTTTAAGGCAAACTTACAGCCTTCTACCAGTCAACACACACGGCTCATCAGAATGCAAAGGAGATGTATACTCAGGGTATGGAGTGTTGAAAATACTTTCAAGCAAGATCTGCATACCACATTGAGTTATCATGTATTTAATTAAGCATGTTTAAGAAGTGAACATAAATAAGTGAGGGGTTTGTATTTGTTTTTTTAAACTTCAGAGTGCTTTATCTCCTAATTCAGCAGTTCTCAAAACTTTTGGTCTTGGGATCCCTTTAACACTCTTAAAAATAACTGAGAACTGCAAGAGCTTTTGTTAACATGGGTTTGTATCTACTGGTATTCACTGGATTAGAAATTGACTAAGAAACTGAGTAAATTGTTTAAGTATTTGAAATTAATTTAAAAATAGTAAACCCAAGGATGCAGCCTTTGAGAAAGTAAGGCAGTGTTGACACCATCAGCACTGAATATACGACTGAAACCTGGTTAGAGCCTCTATATACCCTTCTAAGAGTCTGGTGGGCAGGTGCAGAGAACTACTTGTCCTAACAGCTTCAGGAGACAGGTCTCTTACGTTCACAGGCCAGGGACACGCAAAAATCAAGAGCAAATGTATTTCCAGCTGTGTGGCTGACAGGGTCTTGGTGCTCCAGCTGGGCGTCAGGCCTGCACCTCTGAGGTGAGCTGAGTTCAGGACACTGGTCCACCAGAGGCCTCCCGGCCCCACGTAATATCAATTGGCGAGAGGGATCTCCGCCTCAATGCTAAGACCCAGCTCCACCCAACGGCCAGCAGATTCCAGCACTGAAAGCCCCATGCCAAACAACTAGCAAGACAGGAACACAACCCCAACCGTTAGCAGAGAGGTTGCCTAAAATCATAATAAGGTCACAGACACCCCAAAACACACCACTGGACGGGGTCCTGCCCCCCAGGGAGACAAGATCCAGCCTCATCCACCAGAACACGGGCACCAGTCCCCTCTACCAGGAAGCTTACACAACCCACTGAACCAACCTCACCCACTGGGGGCAGACACCAAAAACAACGGGAACTATGAACCTGCAGCCTGCGAAAAGGAGACCCCAAACACAGTAAGTTAAACAAAATGAGAAGACAGAGAAATATGCAGCAGATGAAGGAGCAAGGTAAAAACCCACCAGACCAAACAAATGAGGAGGAAATAGGCAGTCTACCTGAAAAAGAATTCAGAGTGATGATAGTAAAGATGATCCAAAATCTTGGAAACAGAATGGAGAAAATACAAGAAACGTTTAACAAGGACCTAGAAGAACTAAAGAGCAAACAAACAATGATGAACAGCACAATAAATGAAATTTAAAATTCTCTAGAAGGAATCAATAGCAGAATAACTGAGGCAGAAGAACGGATAAGTGACCTGGAAGATAAAATAGTGGAAGTAACTACCACGGAGCAGAGTAAGGAAAAAAGAAGGAAAAGAATTGAGGACAGTCTCAGCGACTTCTTGGACAACATTAAACACACCAACATTCGAATTACAGGGGTCCCAGAAGAAGAAGGGAAAAAGAAAGGGACTGAGAAAATATTTGAACAGATTATAGTTGAAAACTTCCCTAATATGGGAAAGGAAATAGTCAGTCAAGTCCAGGAAGCACAGAGATTCCCATACAGGATGAATCCAAGGAGAAATACACCAAGACACATATTCATCAAACTTTCAAAAATTAAATACAAAGAAAAAATATTAAAAGCAGCAAGGGAAAAGCAACAAGTAACATACAAGGGAATCCCCATAAGGTTAACAGCTGATCTTTCAGCAGAAACTCTGCAAGCCAGAAGGGAGTGGAAGGACATATTTAAAGTGATGAAAGGGAAAAACCTACAACCAGGATTACTCTACCCAGCAAGGATCTCATTCATATTTGATGGAGAAATTAAAACCTTTACAGACAAGCAAAAGTGAAGAGAATTCAGCACCACCAAACCAGCTTTACAACAAATGCTAAAGGAACTTCTCTAGGCAGGAAACACAGAAGAAGGAAAAGACCTACAAAAAGAAACCCAAAACAATTAACAAAATGGTAATAGGAAGATACATATCGATAATTACCTTAAATGTAAATGGATTAAATGCTCTAACCAAAAGACATAGATTGGCTGAATGGATACAAAAACAAGACCCATATACATGCTGTCTACAAGAGACCCACTTCAGACCTAGGGACACATACAGACTGAAAGGAGGGGATGGAAAAAGGTATTCCATGCAAATGGAAATCAGAAGAAAGCTGGAGTAGCAGTTCTCATATCAAACATAATAGACTTTAAAATAAAGACTATTACAAGAGACAAAGAAGGACACTACATAATCATCAAGGGATCAATCCAAGAAGAAGATGTAACAATTGTAAATATTTATGCACCCAACACAGGAGCAACTCAATACATAAGGCAAATGCTAACAGCCATAAAAGGGGAAATCGACGGTAACAGAATCATAGTAGGGGACTTTAACACCCCACTTTCAACAATGGACAGATCATCCAAAATGAAAATAAATATGGAAACACAAGCTTTAAATGATACATTAAACAAGATGGACTTAACTGATGTTTATAGGACATTCCATCCAAAAACAACAGAATACACATTTTTCTCAAGTGCTCATGGAACATTCTCCAGGATAGATTATATCTTGGGTCACAAA